TGAACGGTCTGGATTATGAATTTAATGAAAAGAAAGCGTACAGGTAGGGCACTCGCGGCGCATTAAGACGAAGCGTAGAAAGATGCATAAATAAAGCACGTCCGCCGAATGGAGAATGGAATACATACCTTTATCATTTGTAGCGATTATATGGTCTTACTATTAAGGCAACGAAATTACCTTAGGCGAAAACAATGCGCGCTCTTGCGCCTCATGTCACCATGAGGATTGGACCATATCATCACAATTGGTAGTTTCCGTGTGTCTGGCGTATGGCCTCTGAGGATCGATAGAGACGCTTCGTCTAGCGAGCCTGCTGATTTACTCTATCCACTCGAGTGGCCTTTCTGCCGTATTTCTTGGTAGTGTATGTAAGAATTGCGAGTGTCTCAGCATATAGCCAGATTTTATAACTGCCCTAAAGTTGACAGTTAGAGTTACTGCCGCCGTTTACTATGGAGTTCAGAAAAAAAAAAAGGAAGTACTTCTGAATAAAAAAAAGAATTTTGAAAAAAAAATTGCAGAAAAGAATTTTTTGAATTTCAAGAAAAATGGCAAAAAGGAATTTTACGAATGGGAAAAAGAATTAATTACAATTATTTTTGAATTTCCAAAAGAAATATCGAAAAAGAATTTAATTCATTCTAACGTATTTTCAAAATTTTTGGAAAAGAATTAACTAATTCGATTAATTCTAAAATATTTTTGAATAATAATTAATTAGAATTATTTTTGAAGTTCAACGAAGAAATAAGTAGTTTCAAAATTTCAAAAAAGAATTAATTAGAAATATTTTCGAAAAAGAAATGTCGAAAAAGAATTTAACTAATTCTAAAATATTTCGAATTACAAGGATTTCGAAAAAGAATTCATTTTTTTTTTTTCTTTTGAATTTCGAAGAAGAAATGCCGAGAAAGAATATGATTAATTCGACGTATGTTTGAAAATTTTGAAAAAGAAAATATTTGTGAAAAAGAAATGTCAAGAAATGAAGTATTTGCGAATTTACAAGAATTTCAAATGAAATTTGAAAAATAATAATAATAAGAATAAGAATAATAATAAATAAGGAATAACTGGCTAATGAAGTAAAGCGTGGTTGAAGTGATCCTATCTATGATTGATTGGTGATGGTGGGGGGGGTGGGGCGG